ATTTTTTTTTCCCCATTTAAACGGACAAAATGATAACGGTCCGATAAGTACGATCTAAACCAGCTTAATGCCTGTCCCTGAACACCAGTGTAGTTTTGTAGTCGATCCAAGAGTATTTTATGATCTATAGTGTCGAACGCAGCGCTAAGATCAAGTAGGACTAGTATTGAGATACAGCCTTGGTCAGAAGCTAAAAGTAAATCATTTGTAATTTTAACTAGCGCAGTTTCTGTACTATGATGCGGTCTGAATCCTGACTGGAATTTTTCATAGATATCATTTTCTTGCAAAAAAGAGCACAATTGAGCGGACACAACTTTTTCTAGTATTTTGGACATAAATGGAAGATTTGAAATGGGTCTGTAATTTGCCAAGTTATTTGAATCTAATTGCGGTTTCTTAATGAGCGGTTTTATTACGGCCAGCTTTAATATTTTTGGAACATGACCTAAAGATAAGGATGAGTTAATAATATTGAGGAGAGGCTCTTCCACTACAGGTAATAGTTCATTCAGTAGTTTAGTGGGTATTGGATCTAATAAACATGTTGTTGGTTTAGATGCAATGATAAGTTTATTTAGCTCTTCCTGTCCTATCGTTGTAAAGCGTTGTAGTTGTTCTAGAGGGGCCATAATTGAAGCTGAATCATAAGACACCATAGAGAATTGTACATTTATAATTGCGTTTCGGATGCTTTCTATTTTCTCATTGAAGTAATTCATAAAATCATTACTACTAAACTGTAACGGTATAGTTTGCTCTGGTGATGTCTGTTTATTTGTTAGTCTAGCCACGGTGTTAAATAAAAACCTTGGATTATTTTGGTTATTTTCGATTAGTTTGCGGAGATGCTCAGCCCTGGCTGTTTTTAAGTTGCGAGTTTCTCTCTTGATAGCATGCGTAGCACTGTTGTACCATGGTGCTTTAATTTTCTCTCTAACCTTTTTTAATCTAATTGGTGCAACAATATCTAATGTACTAGTAAGAATGGTGCTTAAACTGCTAGTCATATCCTCTAATTCATCCGTTTGTTTTTGTTTTCACTTAGCAATTTAGATGTGGCCCCGATCCAGAACAGGGTTTTCAGGGTTTCGTCATTGAGGGGGTTGGTGAGTGCAAGTGCAACAAAGTCTCTGGTGAATGACACAAAATCCGGTGACAACTCGGCAAGCGCGATGAAGTCGCAGTTCATTTTGTGTTTGGTCCGGTATTCTGTCACGGGGCAGGAAGAAGGCAGACGAAGATCCAAGAAGGAAAATACTTTCTTTCATAAATGAAACTCAGGAATAGGTAGACAGCGTGTAGACACGAACAATACCGGACCAGGGAGTGAAGACAGGCAGGAACTTAAATACACAGTGACGGTGATTACAAAATGACAGGCAGCTGTGCGGGAGGTGATGAGTGTCCATGGCAACAGATGAGGGCAGAGAACTCAGACGAGGGGAACACGTGGTGAATCAAAACACACAGACAGTCCAAGGATGGTGACACCATTATTGACCATCAGGGCAATAATTAAGAAGTTATAATCAACTAAAAATGTTACGAATCTGACAGGAAGAGGACGTGCATCTATATTGCCTTAATGTTTTTTTTTTCAATAACCATGCGTAAACAATATTCTCTCAAAAATACAAACATGTACATGTTGCTCACATATTCTGGTAGCCCTGTTTGTGCTAAATAGAGTTTAATTTCACCTTTGCCGTTAATGTTTATAAGCAACTGAAAAAAGCACAAATATTAGGACATGTCAAAACATCTCAAGGACCCTAAAAACAACTTAGACCCCAGAGGGTTAAAGGGAAAGTTCACCCAAAAATGAAACTTCTGTCAGTAATTACTAGGGGTGCCATGGTACATAAAAAAAAACATCCAAACCGTTCGGTTTGCTTGTCTCGGTTTGGAGCGTGTGTGCGTCTCACGGTGCGACGCATGCGCAATGTAGCTTTGTGCCCGTATGTGACATCAGACGTGTTTCCTTTTCATGCGAAATAAGACGTGTGTGCACTGTGTTGAACCGGTGCTGCACAGAACGAATAACAGAGCGGTGAATAACATCAAACTACCGTGAGAGCCACGGCTCCGTATGCCTTTCAGTCACTCTTGCGGTACTTTGATGTCATTACCGATCGCTCTGTGCAGCGCCAGTACAAGTTAGCAAACAAGCTAGTAAAAGTGGAGTATGGAGTGCTGCAGGTCACGTCACATGTAGTAATGGCAAGTGGGAGAGATGAGGGAGTTGGAGGCCTTATCTATGGTTGGAGGATGCGCCAGCGTTTTATAAGTCCGGTGTGTGGGAACATTTTGGATTTCATGTTATGATATTTAAATATAACGCTACAGTGGCACTTTAAGTTTAGATAAGAACTCCAGTCATATGTTTCCAAGTACTGCACTTTAATTTCAAGTGAAAAAAGTACCCTGCCTCTCAGGGATTAGAAGGATTGTTGATACTGTTTTGTTTCATTTTATAATTATGGCCTTTGCTATTGCTATAGGCTTATTATGCAATTATGTTTCATGTATTTTGACTTATTTAAAAGACAGTTTTAAGAGTTCCTCTCTTTTTCTTTTAAAAGATACCATTTTTTGTAAGAGCTACATTTAATTTGGCAGTTTGATAAATGCAAGTTAATAAAAATTTTTCCGTGCTAAAAATGCACATAAGTTCTTGTCGAGATAGTGATACACATTCTCCTTTTTTTGCCAAATAAACGAAAAGCATGTCATCAATGTCATCTCTAGCTGTATCAAAATTTCACCTAGCTTTCCTCGGAGATGGTCCCAATAATGTGCTTAAAGTCAAGGCAAATTCAGTTTTTGAAAGATTGCATGATATAACATTTTTTTAAATACTGTATCCTAAATTGTGGATAATTGAGCTATACGTATATCATATGCTGAAGTAAATTTCTGGATTGTGTTGAGGCAAAAATTCAATTAACAGACATCACTTCGTAAGAGACACACTGAGTCAAATTAATAAAAGGAAAAAGGTTTATTATTCTTGCAAGAACAATAAGGCTCAGCCACCAACACAGATACTGCAAAGTGAAGACGCCCAGAACACAGGCCGGGGTGAAGTCTAAATAGCTCTCCCCCAAATTTACTGCAAGCCAAGCCTTCTCTGTAAATTTCCACAAAGCCATAGGATTCATGATGTCAGGTTAGATTTACTAACCCCCTCTATCCCCCCCAGTCTAAGATGACCTCTGACCCGGCCGGTCCTCTGGTGCCTAGCTCCACTCTTGATAAGGGAAAACAAATCACTTCCTTCAGACCATAAGACATTCCTCTGTGGTTACATATAGGAGGTGAACAGATAATATAGAAATAAGAAAACATAAGATGCAATAATCATATGTAATACATGTAAGGTTAAAATTTTCCCCAACAATTGTTAAAGATTAAAAGAAAAAAATAACAAGAACCGCACAGAAACCGAACCGTGGGTTTTGTGAACCGTGCCTACCGTAGTAATTACTCAACTTTATGTTGTTCCAACCTCACAATGTTTTTACTAACCTTTCTGGGCTGGCAGGTTTCAATTACAATAGAAGCCTATGGAGCAGTAAGATAGCTCTCAGATTTAGGAGATGTAACAAACTCTGCAGATGAAAAAAATAACACGCATCTGCTTGATTTGGGTAGTGCTAGATCCTATATGCTACCTGTCTGTGAATTACATAATAAACTAAAAGAAAGTTTATATATCATATTTTCTGGATATTAGTTCACTTTATTTATTTTTTTTTATAATACACTATACTTTTCCCAAACGGAATAATTAATAACAAGTTTAAATGGGTAAATCTTCTATGAATATTTTTAATTATTCATTTCTTTCTTGATATATCCCAGTTCTAGTTAAAAACAGACTGCTTATTCTGTGTATTTCGAGCACTTTTTGTGGGAAATCACATTTATTTTGCCTATAAAAAGTGTGCTTTCACTTTAATTGAGTGTGAGCAGTGCAGCTCCCGGTGTGAATGCACTCATTTGTTAATACGTTGCTCACACTTGCGGTGGAAAACTGCATGACAGATCAGATAAATACCTTATGCAAGTGCAGGTAGACAAACACCGACATGTCAAATTTGAACTCTCACATTCTCCAAAAATGGTCACATAAGTCGACCATTTTGGTTGCAGTCTGGAGACTTGCAATTTATTTTCAAACTTTAACATTTGTACATTTTATGTATAAACTAAAATATGGCCTATATACTGATTGAAAATGTTCAGATTTTTTATTTGTTTGATACATTACAATAGCAGTACAATAATAAAGAACATAAATAACTTAAAGGAGACCTTTTATGCCAGGGCTCTACACTGCAACTATTTCGGTCGCATTCTCAACTGAAAATAACTATGAAAACGGGGGCTTAGGGCAAATGAGGGCTTGGAGCCAGAGGGCCGTAAGTGGCATTTTGCGTGAATATGAGTTTTTTATATCAAAATAAAGGTCTCGATGAGCTCTATCCAATGGTGCCAAAATAGCTATCTGAGATCAAACTGTATTGAATAAAGCAACAAAAAGACGTATCTGACGTATTTTACATATTTCTTTTATTTAAAAATGTTTTAGAAGATGTTCATTGTGTTAATATGCCATAATTTTTTTACTTAAATACTCATTCATGTAAGTATGCCTGTGGTAGCAATGTTTGTGGTTTAAGGTTAATAATACAGGTGATTGAAATGTGGTCAAAATTTTGTTTTGTCTCTCCTGGAAAGTTTGTTAAAAGCCACTTACGGCCATCTGGCTCCAATCCCTCAGTTCGGCAATATCACAAACTTGCAAATGTGTGATAGTGATCTTGTACAAAAGTCCAATAAACAGGTTGATATAAAGTGACTTAACATTTTAACCACAATACTCTCTGTTTTTGCTCTATTTCGTGAAAATAGTTTCAAACAAATCCACATCAGAACTGTTGTGCATCTCCAAGCAAGTCAATCTTAAATGTTCCTTTAAATGTTTTTTTCAGCTGGCAGGAGGTGCAGTGATGGCTGTGGGCACCTGGACGATAGTTGAGAAGAGCGATTACATCAGTCTGCTGTCCTCAAAAATTTATGCTGTCTCTGCCTATATACTCATCATGGCCGGGGTGATTGTCATGGTAACTGGGGTTTTAGGCTGCTGTGCCACCTTCAAGGAGCAACGACGCCTTCTGAGAGTGGTGAGGAATATGGATAATGTTTACTTGCTCTAGAGAACTGTTGATGGTTTTTTACATTTTCTTATACTGCATGTTTCTCGACATAAACAGTAATGCTTGACTGCACATCAGATCAGTTTAGTGAGTTTTATCAGGTTTGGAGCTAAACCAGGGCTCAACTCAAAGGATTTTTTTCTACTGGCCCGGTCACAAAAAAGTAATAAATAAATAAAATAGGCCTAGTTATTTATTTTAGTTGATTTTGATCCATGTAACCTTAATAAATAGCCTAAGCATATACATTTTAAAGTCCCTGTAAAGGCAATTCTAAAAAAAAAATTCTAAACACATTATAAATGTTAGAAATGGATTGCTAATACACATTATAAAGACTGAACTGTGAAGTACTGAATTGTGGAGTTAGGCCGTTAAACAGTTTTTCACCATTGCTGTGTTCAGGATTTTTTAGGCAGGCAAAAACTGTTGATGACGCACTGGAGCCACTGAGGCTGGCCCGTCCACAATATAATTAGAGCACATTCCCATCAGTTCGGAATCGGCGCTATTAAATTTTCGAAAGGGAACCCCAAACTACGGCAGAAATACACAGAGCTCAAATGTGACACGTGCTGCAGCATCTCCACAGCAGTGCACATCCATTGTAAACCTGACGCTGCACAGGCCACGGACGGCGCTCTGCTCATCTCTCATAATGAGACTGGCGTGGCCAGAAACATTTTGGGTGCTGCGGCATATTAAATATATTATAAATAGTGTTTCCACGTGAGAAATACAATGTATGGTGAGAGGGCGTGACAAAAGACTGTAATTAGTGACTGTCACGTGACTAGTGAGAACCATGACTGCACTGTAGCAGTTACTGTACACTGTTTAACCTGCAAGATAGCTAGCCTGTTAAAAACACCACGCTTACATTAGCTACTATTCCCCACCAATATACAAGCACAAGAGAAAAAGTATTTTGTACTTACATTTAGTACCCTTGGAAGTCAAGTTGATTGGAGATGACATAGTTGGTAGTGTTGTTATAACCAGTCAACTGAACTAACAATATTTTCACAAAACTGACAAAACCATGACAAACTGTCAAAATCCATCAACATTCCGTGCATGAGCTACTTTCTGAAATTCTAACTGTATGCGGTCCTCCCTAGACCCCGAAGCCATTTTTTTTAAGAATAATGGCTGGCTGATGACGTTATTGGCTGGCTAGCCGGCTCAGCCAAAACCTAAATGGCTGCTGCAGCCGCCAAACTTTTCATAGCTGCAAACGGCTGAAGCTGCCACTTCATGTCTACAGATGTCTATACTGATTTACTAGATCTCAATATTTTTAAGCAATGCATGGCCTACACTATATTTTTACAAAATGCAATACAATGTAATAAAGAAATGCAATACAATTACTTATAAGAACGGTTGCACAAAACACCTAAAGTGAAGATTTAGAACTAGCCTTAGCTATAGTGCTAGGCGGATTCAATAGCCACTGTAACGTTAGTGAATAATGTCCCTGCTGCTGTGTAAGAATGCACACTTGTCAAACTTCACGGAGTAACATTGTGCATATATTTATGACATGTACAGTAAACGCTGTTCAACTTTATAGTTAAGCCGAGACACTACGGATGAATAGGGTAAAATTTTTAACTAGCATATATCACCATGAAACTTTCCCAGTTGATTACTTGCATTAAGATGAGAAAAAGAAAATATATCACAAGTTTTCTTTAATTTTATGTTTAAATATGCAAATTAGGCAATATATAATTTAATATGTGCCAATTTGCATATATTTAAAAAAAACTAAATCTGAGTATTGAATAAAGCCAGGTTAAAATTTTTTTTCATTGTGTTCACATATTAGATGGGAAAAAAATTACAGATGGATTTATGGATATCTACTTTTGTTATCCTGTAAATCAGAATATAATTATTTTCGCCATGTTTTTTTTGGAATAAAATGTTATACATATCAGGCTACAAATAATATATTTACAAATCCCTCTGTTAATGTCTTCATAAAATAACTAGATCTACTGAAGTGGAGATTTCTACAGACGCAAACAGACAAAGTGTAGTAAAATAAAGACCTAAATGTATATTTCGGATTTTTTTTTTTTTTTTTTTCCCAAATTCTGAAAGGACCCGAAGACAAAAACCCTAACATCTCAAAATTGACCAGTAAAAAAAAAACAAACAAAAAAACAACTATGTTTTTGCCTGCCGTCACCATGTCTTGCCTTATAGTTATGTTATCAGTATTATTTCGAACAAAGTTTTGCACACTTCAATGTACACTTAAGCATGCGTCGTATGTGGAAACGGGGTCGTTACTGCAGTAATATCAGGTTCAGTGCTATAAGTCTCTCCGTTCCAGAATATTTAATTCATAACATCAATCTTTGATTCAGGTGTCTGTGCAACCAGAAAGTATGTGAGAAGTGCGATCTAAATTACCTTTCGTGCTTCGTTCCGCCATTTCACCTCAACTTCAAGTGCGAGGGAAAAAAACATACAGTATAGCTTCTGTATGGAAAATGAGCAATTTTAATTGGTCGTCAATTCACTGAGTCTGTCTGCGTATTGTAGCAACGAGCACAAGACTGTGCTGTTGTGAATCCAGTGGGAAAATAGATCTCGTGTATTGTATTGCTTATATATTTTGTGTGTCTATGTGATAGAAATATTATTTGATGCAAATAATTTTAGCCGGCTCAGCCAAACTTTATCAGCTGCTTACGAGATTATTGGCTGGCGGCGGCTGATATTCTAAATGGCGCAAATGGCGGTGCCTGGCGGCGGCTTCGGGGTCTAGTCCTCCCTTCTTGTATTATCTTTACAAAGTTTGACAGAAAGTTAAACTCCATCCATTATAATCAAAAAAGTGCAAGTTGAAGTTTTAGCATTTATTGAATCTTGATGTCACAACATTGCGATGGATCAGAATGAAACTAAAAGAAAGAAATACAATTTTCAATTAGACTCATGACTAAACATAGCTTCAAATAACACTAATAATAATATACAGATTACAGTAATACTGTTGTACGGAGCCCGGGAAGTCACCTGTGGGGGGGGAAAAAAACAATCCGTGGCGACGGTTTTGCAATCCGTCTCCTCAGTTTATATACTGTTCTCATGAATTCTTAAACTGTTCCCTCGGTTTAACAATTCGTGCCCACGGATTAATAAACCATACCCACGAGTTCCTAATCCATGCTCTTAGATTTGTAAACCGTGCCCTCAGTTTTTGCAATCTGTACCCACAAATTCATAAACCGTGCCCGGCCCGTGCTTTCGCAATCCGTACTCACGGATTTGTGGCTTGTCCCCCTGAGTGTGCTGCATGATTCAACCAGGCCTCCTGTTTAGATGCGGGATGCATTGTTTTTAAAAGGACTTCACATACAACAAAATAAAATATAACACAAACACAAAGTTATAGGCTTATAAAAATAAAACATTCATAAATTGTTTTATGATTAACATATTCCTGTCTTAAGTGAACTAATTTAAAGTTATAAACGCAAATAATAAGTCTAATAATAATAAGGCTATTATTATTACATTTAGGCTACATATTTAGATATAAGACGCTTTTATCAAAAAAAGAAACAAAGCAATTCATGAAATGTCAGTCATAATACAAGTTAGACAATAATAATACAGGTGTCAGGAGCCAATCAGAAAGTTTTCGACTTTCCCAGGCAGAACGTACTTGACGGAGAGAGCTGGAGCTGTGCATGTACTGTGGTTCCAAGGGTCATTTTAGACTTAACTGTCCCATTCGACCAGAACAAATGATGGTAAGCTCTGTCCTTGACAACACCATTGTATCCACACCCCTCACGATTCCTATTACCCTGAAATTTCAAGAGATCTGCATATCTGTAACAGCCATTGTCGACTCTGGTTCAGCAGGGAATTTCATCTCCGGGAAGCTCTGTAAAGAACTCAACCTCCGAAAAGTCAGCACTCCCAAGCCCTACTCCATCTACGCTGTAACCGGTGAATTGATTAATAAAGAAAGTGTAACTGCCAAGATAACCCCCATCCAACTAGGGCTGGGTATCGATTCACATTTCAATTTCGATTCGATTTCGATTCACAAGCTCTCAGTTCGATTCGATTTCGATTCTCGATTCGATTTCGATTCTCGATTCAATTTTCGATTTCGATTCCTGATTTGATTCTCGATTCGACTATAATGAAGATGTAATATAAATCCTATATTTATAAAAAAGAACAGTGGACATAAGTTTACTAGTGGTTAATAAACCTGTATATAAAACTCTTTTTATTTACTAAATGCATACAAAGAATAAACAGGATTTTGATGCAATATGCAAAAAAAGTCAGAACAGTCGCACAGCTTGATCAAACAGTATCATGTTATTTTATGTTTAAGATAGATATAGATAAATAAATATATAAATATTTAGACATTTTTTTTACATTGATCTTACCTAAATGGTACCTTTTTTTTAAATGGTAATGTATTTTTTTGTTTATTTTTGTTTTAAGAGTTTATGTATGGAAGCTTGATTTCAATCTTTGAATTAAATTGAAAAAAGTAGCACAAATAAATACAATAGAATAAAGACACAAATTAAGAGACATTTTGGGGTAGTTTTTTGGGTATGTCAGAAATACTACAGAAACTGACTAAAGTAATCCAATGTAAAATAACACTGGATAGTCTTTTTAGTCCAGACTGAATTAAATACAAAGGCTATTAATTCTGATTGCTTACAATTAATACTATATTCTGTTGTTATGACAACAGAATTAATGACTGACACAAATGGCTGCGTTCACTTTAAGAACTAGTGCGCGAATCCATTACTGTTTCATTAACTTTCTGTTACACGCGTTTAATGCTAATTTAAGACATTACCGACTGTCTTTACGAGGTTACTCACCAAGACCAGAGTTTTGACATAATGTCGCGTGTTTTAACTGTTAAAGTGATATAATCCAGGGATAAAACTTTTGTT